GGAAACAGGTAGTGCGTGACCCTTTCCACGGAGACAGGGATCACAGGGTGTTGGCAGTGTACCTTTCTTGATGTCGAATCCAACGACATGCTGAATGGAGTCACGGATCTTCCGCTCGGAGGCGTGGGCCGTACGTCGGTGCGCGAGATGGATTGAGATCGGCGGAGGAACCACCTTTTTGACAGCATTGGCAGTGAGGTCAGTGGGTGGTGAGCGTGTCAGGGCACCGCAGAGATAGAGGCTCTGAATTGCCTTGCGGCTTGTGGCACCTGTTGTATGTAAAAAGTATTGAGCATCCTTAGCAGTTGCAAAACCAATCTGCTTGCCGTTCTGAATAAGAACAGTGGTGTCTTCGGTCTCGATATGTGTGCGAACACCCTGGCGCGCCAGCTGTTTACACGAAATAAGATTATGTGACAGGGCCGGCGCGTACCAAGCGCGTTCAATCTCTAGAAGCCCACAAGGTTTGTTCTCCTTATCTGCCAGTTCGATCGAAACAGTGCCGTAGCCGACAGTTTGGAAGGCCTCGTCAGTAGCAGTCTTGGCCGTACGTACGCAGGGGGTGAAGGACGTGAAGTAATACTTAGAATAAGTCATTGTTTCAACTGTCCCAGAGTCAAGCATCCAATCATGTGAGTGGTTCGGGTTTTGGTCCTCTTGAGCTACAGTAGCGGTACTACAGCGAACTGATATAGCGAAGGCATTAAGAGCGTCGAAATCAATATTAACTGCATTTGCAGAGGGTGTTTCGGACGGCGCTGTAGGTGGATTTGGTGCAGTAACCGCGTTAGCTTGAGTGTTTGTAGATGCTTTCTTGTTTGGATTCAAAGCACACTTGCTTGGAAAGTGATTTCCGTAGCGCTCATGGAAAGTGCACCATATAGTATTCTTATCAGCAGCATCAAGTTGTTCTCTCTCATACTGAGTAGAGGTATTTGTTTGACCTCTACCCCGACCGGGGGTTCGCCGCGTCCACGACCACGCCCGCGTCCGCGGCCACGACCACCACGATCATTTCCTCGAGTATTTGTGTTGGTGTTGTTGTTGCTGGTGGCGCCCTGAGGCTTGTTATCAACCGAATGAGTGGTTAGTTGAGAGAACTGGTTCTTGCGTGTATATTCAAACTGCGTGAATTGGGCATATACTGATGACAGGATCGCGTCTTCTGTCAGTGTCATGTACTGGTTTGTAATGAACGGCTGCAAGGCAGGAACGTCCTGAATCGCTGTGAAGAACTGCAGGAGTTCAGTATGATCGTCGATGATCTTGTGCCGCGTAGCTCATTGAGGGCGTCCGCGTAGCATGTAAGAAAGGTCTCTTGACTGCTTGTACCATTGTAGCGAATAGACGCCCATTTATTATACAAGCGAACGACCGTAGCAAAGTTGGAGGTCTCATATGCTTCCTGGAGAAGGACATATGCCTCGAGTGCAGATTCACAGTTTTGGAAACGCGATGCGGGACTGGCCTCGCATGTAGTACCGAGAATCACAAGTATAGAGTAATTCAGCTGTTTCCACTTCTTGCAATCAGAATTGTATGTAGTAAGCAAGGTTTGGTTACGCTGTCTGGCCTGCTCAATGCTGCGTTCCAGCTGTTGTTGAGTAGGTAAAGGGCCACCCTCACCAGCACGGACAGCCAGTATTCTCATATTCTCATCTTCCTCTTCCGAATAAAGAGCTGGTTCTTCTGGAAGAGTATATTTGCCCTGGAGCAGGTCCCACGCGTCCGGATTTTTGGAGCGTAGGTAGTTTCGTAGGTTCCTTTGCCATGTTAACCAGTTCGCCTGGCCTTTGAGCTTAGGAACGTCTTTAGTGACGTCGATATCGAACGGGTCTTTGGACGGCGTCATTGTAAGGGTTCGGCCACGCCGCTCGCGTGGTGGGAGGTTTGGTCGGTCGGTAGATGCCAAGCCTGGATGCCAAGCCGGCTAGATCGCCGCGGAGGCGTGTGGCGCGCCGATTTTGGGGCGTAAGAAGCCTTAACTATGTAGATAATAGTGTACGACGCGTAGAAATGATGGAATAACAGGGGATACAAGTATCTTGTGATCATTTTTCGCCACGAGGCTCATAACCTGTGGAAGCAATATGATGATATTG